GTAAATATCTGTCTGTTAACACAAATACTCCAATTCTTAAATATAAATATATTTTCTTTGACTTTTTGTATTTGAAGGATAAGCACATCACCGGCCCTTTAAACTTATTTTCTATAATWTAATACAAAATAGGGTTTATTAAGTTGTTTTTTTCCAGACAGGAATCCATTTTCAGACTAAGCTAAGGTTATCTGAGCTAACTTTTTGTAAATATCTGTCTGTTAACACAAATACTCCAATTCCCTTTCAAAACAGAGATCCGTATTTCACCGAACAACGTGGAACCGACCAATTTCTACCAGGTTTTAAGAATGGCTGCACAAATTGTCCGATTTAGGACGGGTTTTTCTTTTTTGTCCATTTCCTGGTGAAAAATGATGCAATGAATTATGAGGAGACACAAAGAAAGACTGAAAGGAAGCAAAAGTGTGCATGGATCACCAATGCGGCGAAGCACAAGAGGAACATAAAGAGGAGAGGAGAGGCCAGAATTGATTGGTGATGATTTCTTGCATCTGGGCAAAGACAGAAATAAAAGAAAGCAAAAATGGAGGCTATAATCATGTTAGTACCCCCCACCCCCCCACCACCACCACCACCCCACAATCCCTCTATTTCAGCTTCCTCCATTCTCTGAGTGGTCATCTGTTGATTACACGTTATATTTAAGTCAGCTGTCTCAGTCTCTCACTGCCTCTCTCTGGACTGCACGCTCGCAAGGTTCAGGCATACATACATAAATAACATACATACATAAATACTTAATCAAATAAATAAATCACTCGGCCCGGCGGCCCTTTCTAATCAAGTGACATCAATCAGGGWGAACTGTGGCTAAAGAGGCCTTGTGGCTGACGCCTACTGAGTGCACCCAGATCGCTGGAGTAGCGTCTATTTGAGTCCAAGGGGGGAAATATACGCTCCATGTCCCATTACAGGAGAAGGGCTATCCTTTCGTCAGCGCGCCCATTACTCGCCCTATCATTTCCCCAAATCTAAAACCTGTTTTCAATCAACACAGCCAAACGAGTGCCTGTCCAAGAGAGGCAGAGAGAGAGAGACAAAACGGGAGCGAGGGAGCACAGGAGAGAAAGCCGGTGAGATGGACAGTGAGGGGTGAGGGAGAGCGATGGAGGGCCCTTTCCTGCTTTCTTCCAGTGATTGGAGCGTTTTGCATTCTGTATGTGTGTGTGATTGAATCCGTCTCCTAAATTAGGGCTGTCGACTCGAGGAGCTGAATGTCCTTAACCCCCCTCCTCCCCATAACCAATGCCTGTGCACCGCAACTTGTGTGTTTGTGTGTGTGTCACATCACTGGTGAATATTTTAAGTGCAGCCTGGGTAAAAAGGTTTATGCTGAGACATTGATTGCTAATGCTATGTTGTATGTGAGAGAAAGCATTGGTAGGTTATTAAAATTCAACGTTTTTTTTTATTTTATTTTTTATTTAGTGGCTCGGCTAACTTGATTTCAAAGTCAGAATGGCAGAAAAGTRAGAGAGGGAGGGAAAAAAGTGATTAAAAGTAAGAGTTTGATTTGCAGAAAGGAGAGCAAAAGCAGCAACAAAGTTTCAAAAAAGCATCTACAACAGCTCGGAAACATTTATATGTGTGTGTGTGTGTGTGTGTGTGTGTGTGTGTGTGTGTGTGTGTGTGTGTGTGTGTGTGTGTGTGTGTGT